CCCCAAAACCCCAAAACCCCAAAACCCCAAAACCCCTCTAAAAGCTCATGTGTTGAAACTAGTATCTCAATAGCGTCATATTTAACTTATTTTTCATCTACATTTGCTTCCTTTGCAAACCCATTAAATATCTGCTCTAGTGTAGTCTGACTGATCCCATATTCTTCGAAGCTAGCTTTGCTCTTAAGTTTTTCAAGCAGGCCGAAATAAAACCCAAGTCTGCGCCCACCTCCAAAGACTCGGAACCTGAAGAAGTTGTCGCAGTGCTCGACCAGGCTGCAGCTGTCTGAAGCTTCTTCAAGGGAGGCTTTCAAAGTCTGGTATTGCTCGTTGAGGAGGTGTAGCTGACACAAAGAGAGGGGTGTCATTTCAGACCTATTAAAAGACTGGTTAATGAAAGTGAAATTGGTGATTTTTGAAATACAAAATTAAATAATATAAACATAATTTTTTCTAATTAAAAATAACTATTTAAGTCAAACCTTCTGAAATTAATTGTCAACCAACTTTTGTCAAAAGGTGTTTGAATTCAAAATTTTAGGAGACATTTCTACAGGATAGTGCAAAGAAAGTATAGGAAACTAAGAAAATTTGAACACTCGTTCGCATTTAGTAAATGCCAGCTGCTCATGAGCTCAACTCCTTTGGGCTTTCATGTTTATGCGAAGATGATTTAAGCTATCCAACTTACGAGTATTTGCCAAGGTCAAGTTCACTTTCTGAGATAAAATCTATGTTGCTATTTTAAACCGGCTAATGCTGTGGCATTTGTAGAGCCATCAAGCCCTTTCTCTTTAAGAAGCTTTGTGGCTTCTTGTTCGCTCGGCCATCTCACTTTGATTTCTATCTCATAGCCTGTTCCAAACTTGTCTTTGATAGCTTGTGGTGACCCGAAGCATTTGAATCTGCCACTAACCATGATGCCCATTTTGGTGCACAAGGCTTCAGCTTCTTCCATAGAGTGGGTGGTCAGGATGATGGTGCTTTTCTTTCTGAGTGTGGATATCTTCGAAATGACACTCCACATGAATCTTTTGGCTTTCGGGTCCATTCCTGTTGATGGCTCGTCCAAGAACACAATAGGCGGGTTACCGATAATGGCCATTGCTACAGAGAGTTTGCGTTTATTGCCTCCAGACAGCTTCTCACATCTGACATCTCTAAAAGAGTCAAGGTCAAGCTCTCTGAGAGTGTCTTCGATGATTTGGTGTCTGTGCTGTTTCAAGATGCCTTTTATTCTTGAATAAAACACCAAATGCTCGTACACAGTCATTCCTTCAAATATTGCGTTTTCTTGAGGACAATACCCGATGAGTTTTCTTGCTTTTTCAAACTCTGATGGATGTGATAGATCAAGTCCATCAATATAAATTTTACCATCAGTGGGGGTGACGTCTCCAGTCATACTTTTAAAAGTTGTAGACTTTCCTGCTCCATTGACTCCAAGAAGAGCAAATCATTCACCATATTCAAGTCCAAATCAGATATTTTTGACAGCAGCAAATTGTTGTCCTTGAACCTTAAACTCTTTACGAAGTTGGTTCACTAAAACAGAGCAATTTTGAGGAACAACTTCAGAGCATCTAAATTCTTCATTTCTCACATCAGAGTCAATTTCTACTTGGGGTTCATCAAAGAATTCTTTATAATCCTTTACCCCTCTAAATCTAAATATTCTCATTAAGATGTTTGATTCTAGCAAGATGAAAAGACTCCACCAGAAGAAGATACTGATGGCTAAGAAAACTGCATCGCCTCCTGCAACATCAATGCTTAGTGGGTTGTCCTTCGGGTCTTCGCCCAATGCAAACGCAATGGTGTTCATTATTGAAATCTGAACAATTCCATCGATGACTGCAAACGGAGGGAATATCCTTGGCAGCCACCTCAAAGATTTGCCGATCTCTCTTGTATTCGACATGGACTGCAAGAGGATAATCACAATTGGGATGAATCCTCCCAGAAATATGTTGATCAGAATGGTCATTAGCTGAGCAGCACTTTCCTTTTTAAATAAGAATGTTAATGCATAAGTGAATGGAGGTAAGGCCAATCCAAAGAGCAGAATGTGGATCCAGATAAATGGCAAAGTTACATCAAATATGAAAATCATTGAGATGGCAAAGGTTAGTGGAATTAAACTCCTAGTAAAATCTATAATATAGTTACTTAGCCAATATGGAACAGAAGAAGCTCCTGAGATCATCTGCTGATGTTTCACATTGATTTCTCTTTCATGAACAATAGAGGCAGCAATTCCAGTGGGAATCATAGCGAAGGCTATAGCAAACAGAAATGCAATAACTGCTCCATTATTTGCTTCAGCTCTTGCTTTAGCTCTGGCAGTTAAAGGAAAAGGCATGTTTACAAATTTTAATTGCATCTCAGGTCTGTTAAGAAGTACTCTAAGGCATGATTTCAGCACACTTTGCGTCATCATTGGTGCTCCATCTCTTGCAAATCCGTTAGAGAATCCGAACACCTGGCATACCTTTTCTTTTCTATTGTTCTGAAGCTTATGAAGTACGAAATTTCCTACATTGCTCATTTGTTTTTCATAGCCCTGATCTTCCAAAAAGACTGTCTCTTCAAAATTAGAAAGTGTCTGGTACAAAGTGTCCCCTACCGGAGTCTCAATCACATTAATTCCAAAGATATCTGAGTCAAACGAGTTGGCGAATGCTTCCAAGTCCTGTCCTTCCTGAGTGGAACTAATGTACATAGAGTGATGGCCTGGAAACAGTCCTATGCCTAAGTCTATTGGAGATGAATCCACGAAATAGTCAATCTTGGACAGTCCAAGTCCTGTCAGTATAAAGACCATGGGAATAAAGATTTCTAATAAAGACGACTTTAGTTTTCTAAAAGACATCAGGAATCTTTTGACACAGAGAGCGTAAAGATGAGTGAAGAATACATTTTGTTCTGATTCCTCAGCAATAGAGTAATAATCATCATCATATCCCAATTCACTGTCGTTGATTCTGAATGTTCTATTTAGATTGATTGGTTTCTCCTCTTCATCTTGTTCTCCCACCTTTAGAAACACTTCCTCCAATGTTGTGACTCCCACTCCATAACTTTTAATCTGAAGCTTCTCCAAGCTGTTATCCAACTCTGTGAAGAACTCCTCAAATTTTACAGACTCACTCTGAGGTATCTGGAATGTTACCTCAGATGATACTTCAGATAGCTTTACTCAGTGATTAAGTCTTCTGAATATGAACTCTTCAATGTCTGGGTTTGGTTGATTATCTTCTTTGGCAACAACCAGGTTATAGCCTACTCCAAATTGTTTCTTCAAGAACAGTGATCCTCCGCAACACTTGATCTTGCCTGCCACCATGATGCCGATTCGATCACCAAGGATGTCTGCTTCGTCCATGAAATGGGTGGTCAAAATCAGGATCCGGTCTTGCTTGTTACTCTTGAGCATGTCCCAGATTTTGCGTCTGGCAGTCAGGTCCATTCCGCTTGTTGGCTCATCTAGCAGCACAAGTTTAGATCCCCCAATCATAGCGATTCCAACTGAGAGCTTTCGCTTCTGGCCTCCAGACAGGTCTTTAGCATAGGCGCCTCTCTTTGACTGCAAATCCACATCTGAGAGAGTCTTCTCAACTTGGGCTTCGACCTCAGAAGCAGGGACGCCTTTGAACATGCAGTATAGTTTAAGATGTTCTTCAGGAGTCAGCATGTCAAACAGAATGTCGAACTGGGGTCACACTCCCAAATTCTTTCTGACTTCGTCGGCTTGTTCGAACATATCCATATTGAACACAGAGGCTTTGCCAGCTGAGGGCTGATATAATCCTGTGAGAATGGACAGAGTGGTTGTTTTGCCAGCACCATTGTGTCCGAGAAGGGCGAAGATTTGGTTCTTGTACATAGTCAGTGAGAGGTCGTCAACAGCAACTTTACCATTGCTATACACTTTCTTGAGATGCCTCACTTTCATACAGTCACCAGTTGCTTCGAGCTGTTTGACATTGGGAGGAACCTGTTCACAGATGTTGTCTATGAGCCAAAGTTTATATATTTATTGAAGAACTGTGAATTAGATTTAACCAAACTATATGCGAATGTGTCCAAAACAACTAGAGAGCTTGTTCGTATTTTAATAAAACAGGAAGTTGATATATGATATCAAGTTAACAGCTTCTGGATTGATCAGTCCCAAATAAAAACTGTAAGTTTGATGAAATATGGTAAACTATAAATAATCAAAGAATTTATGAGCATTTAAATGAAAAATACCTTCGTTTTGATCAAAATCTTCATGTTCTTCTTGTAGCAAGTAAGCTTCTAAGCCATTCCCATCTTTGTACTCTGCTCCAAACCAGAATGATTTCTTGAACATAAAGCAGGGGTGCTGTCTCTTGCCGAACTCTTTTGGTAACACATTGTCGAGGTAGAGTCCGAGAAGGAGCTGCACCAAGAAGTTGACACCAAACGATATCAAAGAGACTCCAATTTTAAAGTGTCCAGTGTTGTTGAAAATGGTCGATTTGGTCAGCCCCAGGCCTGCTGTCTCAAGGTCTCCTAGAGCTCCAGCAGCTAAAGTCATTGCAATGTTGGGGATGGCTGAAAACACAATTTTGGTCTGGTCTTGAACCCCAGGCTGGTCGAGAGGAATTACAAAGAAATATGTCAGAAAGTGGAAGATAGTCACAATTATGCATGCTATTAGAGGCCTTTGAAGGAACGATGACACCAACACTCCAAACGAGAACAGTGAGAGGCCGTACAGAAACACCCACAGGAATATCAGAAACATTGATGAGTTTGGAAACAATACGAGTGAGAAGGATATGCCTGTAAATAAAGAGATCACGAAGTTAACTGAGAAGTAGTAGACAAACCATGAAAGCCAATATGGAGCGTCTTTAAGACCCATGATCTTCATACCTTCTCTAGCTCTGGATGCCTTTTCTTCAGTGAGAAACGATACAAGTCTAAACACTGGAGCTATGAAAATAATCAACATAAACAATGCAAGTGTTGGTCCGAAGTTTTTCCAAAAGTCATCTTTTCTAAACTCGTCAACAGATCCCATCGACATAAAAATGTCGATGGATGATTCCAAGCTTTTTGTTTCTGATTTTAAAATATAGTTTGCAATGAAGGACTGCAAAGACATAAACCCAAGCCTTGAATATCTCATAAAATCAGTGGTCCCAGGGACAGTCGTTGTCTTCGGAGACCTTGTTGATGGTACATCAGCTGGGAAATTCTCAGACATATAAATAGTGTAATCGTATGGGTTATTTACTTTATCCGATGGAAGCCCAATAGCGAACAATAACTTCTTGTCTTTCTCCTGGATAGAGTACTCTGGTCTTCTGACATACTGAAAGAGTTCTTCTTCAGTAGTGATATCCTCCATATAAATGAACTTTCTTTTAGTTTCCTGACCAATCTCACCCAAGAACATATCCAATGCCTTATTCAAATCTTGGACAGCTTGAGGATCTTCGCCCAAGAGTGCGTAGTAGTCAGCCCCCTTAGGGTTGACAGGGAAGTTGAGGAAGTCTCTTTGGTTGAAGATTTGTTGCTTGATCTGGTCGTAGAATCCTCCTTCGCTTACTATAGGTGAGAGTTAGGGTTTGGAATTGGTGGTGGGTGAGGAGAGGGTTCTTATCGGATCTGAACCAAAATCTCCAAGTGGGTTTAAAATTTGTTTTAGAGTGAATGATGTTGAGGAGTGCTGGGAATTCGAAAGATTATAAATGAGGTTAAGGAGAGACTAGTGCGATAGATAGAGTGTTGGTGTAATGATTTAGGTATGAAAATCAAAAATAGGTGAGGAAAATTTTAGTGAAATTTAAAAGAAAATTCAATTCTGTGATGCTCTACCCAAATGAGTTCACATAGATTTTGAAAATAACACCTAAGAAATTTTAAGTTCTTGCTATTTTGAATAATATGTGAATGTTTAGTGTTCGTGTTAACTCTTTAATCAAGAAGCCAACTGTTGTAATTCTCTCTCCTTTTGAAACTTTCTTTTCAAATACTTTACTCATTATTCCCCTAAGCTAAACTCAAAAATACTTAAAGACTCATTCAATGAGAATCACTTAGCCCAGATATTAGTTACAAAGTTTAAATTTTACTAAATTCGCATTATCTTTGTTTAGTCCTTTCAGCTTACCTTCTGTGATATAGCCAACTCCATCTTTTACTCTGTTTCCTTCATGTACAGCTACACTAGAGGCAGCCTTTCTTATCCCAATAATTATCCCTACCATTAAGATAGGGGTGAGAAGTTCTCACAAACTTCCAAAGATTTTCCTCCTCCATAGAAGAAGATTCTTCCAGAGGAGCGCTTTAAAATGCAACATGAATGCCATTTTTAGGTTTATGTTATAATTTAATAAATTTTCAAATTCTTTTAACTTTGAGGGGTTTTGGGGTTTTGGGGTTTTGGGGTTTTGGGGTTTTGGGG